CACTATGCAAAAGATTTCAGCTGTGTGGATCATAACAAATTATGGTTAAGATTACAAAGAATGAGAACTCTAGAAAAGTTAGAATACATGCCCAGACCTTAATCATCCTACTAGACCAGGTAACAGTTATTTGAACAGAACAAGGGGTATTGCTTGATTTAAGATAAAGAAAGTATACCACTAATTCAATCTATTATTAGCAAGTAATTCAAGAAGCTGGACTATATTGAAAAGAGTAGGGTGTCAGAATTGAAAGAAAATTCATCAACAACCTATAATATACAGATAACAAAATCTTGTTTGCTAAAATAAAATAGGATTTGATGTACTTATTAATGGAGGTGAAAGATTTCAGTGTGGATTACACCTCAAGATAAAGAAAGCAGAAATCCTCACAACTGAGCCGATAAACAACATCGTGATCAGTGGAGAAAAGACTGAAATAGTAAAGGATTTCATTTCTCTCGGGCCCACAGTCAATGCCCATGAGAGCAGCAGTCAAAAGAAAAACAAAGCCAAGTGATGTCATGCATTGTGTAAATCTATTTCAAATGAAGATCTCTCTAAACATTCACGAGGAAACAGGTTGTTTTGAAGATTAATGTGTGTCTGACACAAACCATGGTATTTTTCAGTCATTTTATATGCACGTAAGGAGGTAGACAATAAATAAGAAAGACTTAAATAAGAAAGAAAACACTTAGCATTGATAGTAAAGGGAGATGTTTGCCTTCCAAATACAACCACTGTTAGCACATTAACGTGGTTCCTTTTTCTACGTGGTATACACAAAGCAAAGATTTTTTTAAGAGCTTTTATTCATGTTACACAGGTCATTTAATGTCCTGGTTTTTTATTTGTTTGTTTTTTTAACATAATACTAGAATAGAAACATTTTCTATGTCATTAAAATGTTGTTGTGAGGTGCTTTCGAGTTTGCTTTCACAGAGACCCCACATTAAACTCTCTGCTGAAACCTATCCACATGGGTGATCCTGCTGGTTTTAAAATATGAGTGCCGTAAATCCCAGCTTCACAGCAACACGAGCCACCACGGTACTACAAACTGACAGACAAGGGACTTACTAAAACAGCACATAAAATTATTTAAAAGAAAGCATAATATTTGAAATTCTTGTTATTAGTCGATAGCATGTTGGCTACTACATATACCAACTCTATGAACCACACATCTATGACCTCCGTCACCTTATCATCTCTGACATCCTTGTCCATTGTTACAGTCACTGTGCCAGCCTACCTCATCAAGGATCATCTTTGATTTTGCTGACCATCTACTTTTCCCATCATGATGTCTTTTTGCAAGGATTGGCCACTTCTGATAACATGCTCAAAGTATGTGAAGTGATATGTTATCATCTTAGCCTCTAAAAAGCACCCTGGTTGCATTTCCTTCAAGAAGATGTGTTTGTTCTTTTGGCAGTCCATGGGATATTCAGTATTCTTCTCCAACACCACAATTCAGAAGTATTATTTCTTCTTTAGTCTTCCTTATTTATTGACCAACTTCCAGATGCATTAGAAGCAATTGAAAATACCTATCTTGGATTGGGCACATCTAAGTTTTAAAGCTGATATTGTTGCTACTTAGAATTTTAAAAAAGTAGTTGAAAGCAGATGTTCTTAATTCTACATGCCTTTTGATTTCTTGGCTACTGCTACTGTGAATGTTGATTGAGATGGGCAGTATTCCATTACGTTCTTATGACTGTCAATAGCAAGTAGTTGAGAACTCCATTCCTGGAGTTAGAATACTTCAATTTTACTTACAGTACAGTTGAGAAACTTTGGATGACTCCCCTAGCATCACTAAGCCTCCATTTACTTGTTTTTGTTCTTATATGCCATTGAGTCACCTGTGACTCATAGCAATCCTGTGTACAATAGCCCTAAAGCCTGCTCTATCCTGTGTCAATCGTATTGTCTCTGACCCCCACTCCCAATACCCCAGTCACTGAATCAATCCATCTTATCAAGGGTCTTCCTCTCCTGTGCTGTCCCGCCACGCTCCAAAGCATGATGTCCCTCGCCAAGGACTGAGCTCTCCTTAAAATATGTCCAAAATATGTCAGATGAAGCATCAGAATCCTTGCCTCCAAGGAGCAGCCTGGTTCACCCTCTCTAGGACAAACCTATTCATTCTCTTAGCAGTCCATGGTATATTCAATACTCTTCTCCAGCACCACAGCTCAAAGACATC